GGAAAACACAGATCCCTGGGGAGCACGAGAGTCAGGGGTGGGCCTTACACACCCATGCATCTCTCTGCCCTCCAGTCAAACTGTGACCTGATTAATCCTGTCCACATGTTCATATTAGTCAGGTTGTCACAGTAACCCTAACTATCACACAGTACTTATGTGTGCTATGCAAGGAGGGTTTTACCAAGTTCTTGGAAGATTGAAATGAAAGGAAAATGGAAATGTTCCATGATGTTTCAGAAGCCAATTTGCCATGTTATATGACAATGAACTTAGATTAGTTTAAAATTTATTGCACTCTCCATGGCTTACACTAAAAATTCTTTGCAAAAGAATGTAATCATTGTGCTGAATATACTAAAAGAAGAAAAAATGAGATCCTATCAAATGTGCAAAACCAGCAAAGGCATAAAAATCAGAAAAAATTAATAAGGAAGAATACAATGAGTAAAAAAATTATAAACAAGGCAGATAGTAATATAACTAAATAAAATACAGAATTTGGTAATATTCTATTTGCAGGAGATTCAAAGTGACTAAAAACATGAACTGTCTACAAGAAACCTACTTTAAATATACAAATTGAAATGTAGGAAAATTAAAGGGATTGAAAAATAAGCACAAAATTAGGAGTGATCAAAAAAGAAAGGTGGAGTTGTTATAGTAACTTCAAATAAATCAGACTTTATACATAATGATAAAGAGGTCAGGTCTTCATCAAGATGCTGGACAACATAAAAGCAAACTATCAAAGGCAAAACTGATAACTTCTAGAAGAATTAGACAAGGCTACTTTTGTAGTTGGAGACTTCAACGCATTCTGGAACATAAAATGCACCTGTAAATTTTAATAGAAAGCACAAAGTATGTTCTCAGACTAAAATGTAATTAAACTAGAAATCAGTAAGAGGAAGATAGCTGGGAAAGTCTCCAATATTTGGAGATTGAACAACATACTTCTAAATCACACATTTTTCCAAGAAAAATTATAAAAATATGTTGATCTAAATGAAAATGAGAATCTCGTGAAGACTTACTGTCTCTGAAACCCATCCAGAAGGTTCTACCTTGTCCTACCGAGTTCACCAAAAACCAAACTCACTGCCTTGACGTCCATTCTGACTCATAGAACCGGAGGTAGGACATAGGACAGGCTAGAACTGCCGCCGTGAGTTTCCAAGACCGTCCCTTCTTAGAGTCATAGAAAGCCTCATCGTTCTCCCATGAGACCGGTAGTTTCCAACTGCTGTTCTTGTCCTAAGCAGCCCAATGGGAAACCACCTTGTAAAGGCTTTTGTTAGCTTGCTTTGATGTTTCAGATTTCCCACATATCTAAACAGATTCCTCCCCTATTCATATTTGTATAGCTCTTGGCAGTTTTTAAAGTCTTTTCATTTAGATTTTTTTCTGATCCCTTTTACACGAATTTTCACACCTATTTTGCAAATGAGGAAGGTGAGGAGATGGGATTTGCCAGATGAGTGTCAGAAGCACAGCTAGAAACCAGATTTGATTACGTGTAGCTCATCAGGGAATCATCCGGAGCGCATGTTTCATGTGCGTCTGTGCTCATCAGAGTACATACTGTTTGAATGGCAAGGGTGTAAGATGATTTGTTTTTTAATGTTTTTCATAGTGCCTCAGACGCCGTATGATTAATTAAGTTTTGTCCATTTGGATCTTCTGATGCACAGAGCGATTGTACACATGA